CACTACTTCCACGTGAAGGACCTACTAATGAGGAGAAGCAGAACAGCCAAAGACCTACCTGCTGAATACTCCAACATCAAGATGTTCTCCGACCTCTCTGCTGCCACCCTGCGAACACGAAAGACATTCCAGCAGGTGATAGAGACCCTCCGCGCCAACCATGTCCTGTACCGCTGGGGCTTCCCTATCCACCTCATTGCCTCTAGAAACGGGATTACCACGGTCCTCCACACAGCAGAAGAGGGCCTGAACCTGTTACACCAATGGAACATGCCCATGGTGGGGGACTCTCAAACTCCCAAACCACCGCGACGAGTGGAAAAAGATATTCATACTTCTAACTGACAACTCACCGCTTTGGCGGTATATGACTGGCATATAAACTGCATTTCATTTAAAAAACCACCCCACTATATCCCACACAAACGCATCCGTGCAATGGATGTGTCACATTGAAAGGTACCACACTGACATACGGTACAGGCATCTGTGATATTACTCGTCAGAACAATCATGGAAATGGGTCCCATTACATAGGCCTACTATACGGGAGCCATAGATGGTCCCGTACACCCTATAATCTGTACCTAGGGAGATGTATTAGACTCCACCTATCAGTAACTAGACTGTTACTTGCCCATATTATGCACAAAAAACACCCGCAGTACCATGAGACACCTCACCAAACTAGTCCAAATATGGGGCTGATTAACCGATTCACTAGCGGTAACAAGTTAAACCACGCTCACCCGCCATAACGGCATAATAGCTTGATGTACAAGTGGTCACAGGATTACCAGTGACATCGAGTGGTGTCTTGCCAGATAAGCAAATTTATGCGGAAATTGCTCGCCCAAGAAGTTTGCAAGACGTAACCAGGGAGTCGCCCTAGGCCTCTCCTAGCAGCAAACTAGAGTGTATGGTAATCACTTATATTGCTTCTATGTTGGACAGACAGTACTCTGCTTCAGCCAAACATGCTCACAAGTTGGTCACTGATCTGTGCGATGAGCAAGCCGCAATCAAAAGGCCATGTCAGATTCCACCTAACCGACACACTGATAAGGCTGTCACTTGCCTCTGTGCCTGTGGACAGTACTGAATATTTCTTAACTAACTCCGCTAGAATGATAACCCCATCTAACTATTACCATCCATAAGGTTTAACAGTTATGACCAAGCCACTGAGTAACACCACAACTAATTATCAAACCTGCTGATCCATTGGCAGGGAGCGTGTGGCATAGTTACACCAGAAGTACTAGACCATGCCCTACCTAACTGAATCACAAGTAGGCACATAATTCACCTTTGGAGTGCCTATCAGCACCTGAAAACCATGCCCATGTGTTTAGCACAGATCATAATGCCCACAAGAGGTGCCTGTAGTGAGTTGCTGTGCCGGGCCTGCATGGTACACCGATACCAGTATAAGCG